TTCTTTTTTATAGATACAAATATTTAAGTAAATGATCTGTTTATAATAAACAGTATTAACAACATTTACCGGCCTGAATGTCCAAGAAATTGTCATAGAAAATATGCGTCTTCTGACTCCTGTCGGAAGACGGAAATTTCCTTGACAATTTGGTAAATGTTGTTAATACTGTTTATTATAAACAGACCATTTACTTAAATATTGATATCTATAAAAAAATGTATAGGCATAAAATGTCTTTTAATATATATATATATATATATATATATATATATATATATATATATATATATATATAAAACAGGTACACAGACACTGTCTGGTCATAGATACGAAAAAGTAATTAGATTTATAGTCACAACTTAACTTCATCCTCATAGACCCCAACTCATTTTTCCAGTTTTATCTTTCTTTTCATTCTAAGCCAGAGAGCAGGCGCTCTCGGCGAAACGCGTCGTTTGTAGCTTTTACACGTTGTCTTCATATTTATATTTGTGTGTGTGTGTAAACGCAAGCCTATAGGTGGGCATGTGCGTATGTGTGTGCATAGTTTGTGGATTTGGTAATTGTATGTGTGTGTGTGTGTGTGCGTGCATGCGTTCGCGCGTGTGTGTGTGTTTCGCGAACATTCAAGAAATGTGGCGGTGTGGGGGTGGGAATGGGTGAATTCAGTTTTTATGAAAAGAAGCGAGGACATGGTGGAGGGATCGGGGTGGGTTGCGTGAAGTCAAGTGACCCAAACCGGTTTCAGAGAATGAGTTACACTTTGCATATTTGTTTGCTGAGGGCAGATAATTTTTCAAGAATAAAAAAAATAGTTTCCTTTCTTTCTTTCTTTCTTTCTTTCTTTCTTTCTTTTGCTTTCTCACCTGAGACACGAAGGGTCACGGTGCCCTTTTCGTAAACTCTCATCGAAGACAAAAATCTTTATCGCCGACTCATACACGAGCAAAAAGAAATAAAACGCGTGGGGATTTACACACACACACACACACACACACACACACACACACACACACACACACGCTCACACACACACAAACACACACATACACACGCACACACACACACACACACACAAAAACACACACAAACACACACATACATCTGAATAAAGACAAAAAGAAAACTTATCTTAGCCGAAGCTTTTAATCCCGCGAGAGACTTTATCAAGGCAAATGTAAGGATTTTATTTTGTGACAAGTATTTATATACAGGAGCAAAAATGTCAATGGTTTTTCAAGATTTTTGTTATATTCATCAGTTTAGCGAATCAGGCATGTTCTTGTGTTTATGTAGGCAGAGGTCATAAAAAAAAAAAAAAGAAAATACTGATTGTATAACGTGTGAGAGTGCGCCACCTGATTTACTGAAATTAAGTAGTCGGTTTGACCGAAGACTCGGATAACGAGAGTCAGTGTGTATGTGAACGCCACGTGAATCGGTGAATTTAAGTAGTCGGTTTGGCCGGGAAGTAAGAAGTACCTCCGCAAAAGGAAGAGTCCCGTGTTGTCGCTACTACATCCCAGCAGCTAAAAGAAAGTGAGGTTCTGCTGGTAGCCGCGCAACCTACCGTCGTTGAGAGAAAGTTTTTTTTATTCTTGAAAAATTATCTGCCCTCAGCAAACAAATATGCAAAGTGTAACTCATTCTCTGAAACCGGTTTGGGTCACTTGACTTCATGCAACCCACCTCGATCCCTCCACCATGTCCTCGCTTCTTTTCATAAAAACTGAATTCACCCATTCCCACCCCCCACACCGTCACATTTCTTGAATGTTCGCGAAACACGCGCGCGCGCGCATGCACGCAAACACACACACACACACACACACATGCAATTACCAAATCCACAAACTATACACACACATACGCACATGCCCACCTATAGGCTTGCGCTTACACACACAAATATAAATATGAAGATAATGAGACAACGTGTAAAAGCTACAAACGACGCGTTTCGCCGAGAGTGCCTGTTCTCTGGCTTAGAATGAAAGAAAGATAAAACTGTATGTAAGGAAAAATGAGTTGGGATCTTTGAGGATGAAGATAAGTGGTGACTATAGATCAAAAATTACTTTCTCGTATCTATGACCAGACCCCAGAGAGTGTCTGTGTGCCTGTTTATATATATATATATATATATATATATATATATATATATATATATATATATATATATATATATATATATATATATATATATACATTTTCTGTTTATACATTCTTTCTTACCACAATACATTTCGGGGCTGTATCTTAAGGACTTTAAAAATGATGCGCACTTCTATTTTTCAACGACAGAAAAAAAACTGTAGCCGCCTTTAACATTAAACCAATCTGCATAACAAACTCTAATCTTGCACCACGAAATCCGCCAATCCATTATCTTATTTTTATACTTTTGTAGGGCATATCCTTTAAGGACGTGGACTATCATGGCTCTCAATAAATTCCTGTTTTTGTTGCTCTAACTTTTGACCATTTACCATCGCTGTTTGTCCTTTTAACTCGCTTTTGTTAAAGAGGTTATTTGTTCTTTTTACCAGTTTCTCTTGTTTTTAGCAAATCTTACGATTATCAAATTCCTCAAGCTTTCTCTCTTCCTTTGTTCCAGAAATGTCAAATTTGTCTTACAAATTGTAAGCGTCAACTTTCTTGAAATCTCTATTGCCTTAACACTTCCTCGTTACTCACATTTCCTGTCAATTCGTCGGTAAAGCCACCACTCTGCCGTTTTATGATTCTTCATGTGAGTGTCCAGATTTCACAGGCAGTCCCCCTTCCAGAAAACAACCCCGTCCCGACTGTGAACGTTAATATAGGCCTGTGACCAGAAATCCTCAATGTCTGCTTCAGTTGTCACTTGTTTCCAAAAGTTATCATTTATTTATTCTTATAATCGCTGGCCATAAAACACAAAATACTAGAAACAGGGATAAAATCTCACTCTCCCATTCTATGTGGCTGTCCTAACCATAGTGTTATGCGAACATGTAGCTTCTAATGACTCACTACAGCAGTAATTTTCTATTGGGGTAATTGCTGATATTTTCTCCAATTTGGGGCTGTCTAAAATGACATTTACTACGCTTTGCCTCCTTTGACAAAAGGTCAGAACTATGGAACACCCAGCGAGGCATATATATATATATATATATATATATATATTGGGGTTAAGATATATATATATATATATATATATATATAGGGGATAAAAATTATATATATATAAACGTGAATCAAAACTTAAATATAATATATATATATATATATATATATATATATATATATATATATATATATATATATATACTGACTCTCTCGTCGAATTCGACGTATGAGGGTCAAGCAGATCGGTTCCTAGGAAACTGACAGCCCGACAACAGCACATTAGATTTGATTATAGCGGTGAAGATTTTGTCCAGGACCATCCACATTTTTTGATGTGCCGAATACAAAAACCAGGTGTACTACGCACCACAAAGTCCCCAAATGACCCTCCTCAGGTTTGGAATTCAGATTTGTCCTTTTTCTTGACTAGGTCCATCCAAGGCTATATATAGCACCCAGTCTGTCCTGCTATTTACCCATAGCTGGAGGAAGAAGAAGAGGATTCACACCTTTCCCCAAGAGTATTATCACGTAAGTGAATGTAATGGATTCTGACTGGGATTCAAACTCTGCTCTCTGATTCCTCAATCCAAGCCGCTAACCATTACTCACTCTCACTCTCTCTCTCTCTCTCTCTATATATATATATATATATATATATATATATATATATATATATATATATATATATATATATAGTTTTAAGATGTGCTATATTTATGGGATCAAGTGCTCAGTATTAGAGATAGAGCGTATGTAAATATAAATGTAAAAGGGACATTCACCACTCAGAGGTGACAGGCTGTTTCATGCTAGACGCAATTGTCAGCATGTCGCTTCTGAGTGTTGACTTCAATGTTCACCTTTATATGACATTTATATATATGTATGTATGTATGTAAATTATAAACTATACTATATTATATATATATATTATATATATATATTATATATATTTAATTATATATATATGTAAAGTATATATATAATATATGCAAAGTATATGTGTGTGTATATATATATATATATATATATATATATATATATATATAAAAAGTATATAAAGTATATATAGATATAAAGTATAAAATAGATAGATAGATAGATAGATAGATAGATAGATAGATAAATAGATAATATTATCATTGTACAAACCAAGAAGAACATCAGGCTAAAACCTCGCAGGAAAATTATTTTTGTTCAACTTGATTGGTTATGTAGCATTGGAGTTTCTCCAAGCGTAGATTCTTCTCGCGAGGACGTAAGGGACAAAATCTGTTTCTTTCGTCACAGGTCGATGATTATATATCATAGGATTTGGCTCAAATGTGCACATTCTAGGCATAGGTGGGTCTTTCAAATGTTTACATATTGGGGGCAGACACTGACATTTTTCTTAAAATTATCGTTTGCTAATTAAGCACTTGTTTCGTCAAGATGATCAGATTTCAAATCCAAATTGTTCGTCAATTTAAAATACTTCATTTATTAGAAAATGTATTCAATGTAAATACAGAAGCGATCATAAAAACTATATAGTATCGCACATTTCGGTTTTGTTTCCTTTTCCTATTAACCAGGGGTTGTTGGCAAACAAAACGGGAAATTAGCCCTCGCGACACGGGCATCCATTTAAATTTCATTAAAATTATGTCGGCATGTTTCACGTGCTGGTGTATATTTAAATTCAGTGACAGACCTAAAAAAAATATTTCTACAAAATTAAAAAAGTTTAAATAATAATTGTATTTATTACCTGTCAGATTTTTCCTTTTTTTGGTGTGTGGGGGGATACACAAGTTGCTTGTTGTGTGTGTGTGAGAGAGAGAGAGAGAGAGAGAGACTCGCTTCAGCTGTTCGCGTTGGTTATAAAAACTGTCCATTCAAAGCGAATATCGAAGCCCTGGGGGGCCGTTCAGTAAAATATAAACAATTGGCAGAGAGAACGATAGAAAGGGAAAGAAAGAAAGAAAGAGAAATAAAGAAAAAGAGAGAGGCAAAGTAAGAGAGAGAAAGAGAGAGACAAAGTAAAAGAGAGAAAGAAAGAGAAAGAGAGATTTCTTTAAGTCGGATGGCTTCTCGATCTTAATACAATTTGCATTCAAACAATTGAGACGAAAGAAGATAAAAAAAAAGAATTCTAATGACACAAAACCGCCATTAAAATCGCTCGTCTATTCATTGCCGAAATATTTACGGGGAAATAAAAAAATTGGCGCGCCAATTGTAATGCAATGCTAAAGAGAAAAGAGAGGCACCAGTCAAATTGACACCAGGAGGGGGGGAGGTCCATAGAGATGTTCGGTGAAAGACGCAGCGTCGTGTGTCTCTTTTTCGATTCTATCGCTATTTCCATGGCAAATGTTCTGATGACCTACATTCCTTAATTCTAACACTGTTCTTCTGACCTTCACAGTTAAGAACCTCCATGACAAGGACAGTGGAACAAATAATCCTCATTCCCTTCATATTCCATAAGTGAAAAAAGAAGTTACATTCGGACTGCTACTTCCCAAGAACCTTTTATTTATAGAACGCTCCCAAGATGATGCTTTTCCGATCACTATAGCCTTAACCTCTTCAAGTCTAGGTTTAACCGTTATCTATCCTATATATCCTCATAAACTGCACTTCTTGCCCCATCTTACACTCATGCAACAACCCCATTCAATAACACTCTACCTTGAGTGACTCTTGACCTTGTATTGGGTGGATAATTAGGAAAAAAGATAAAAAATATTTCGTAAAATGGTATGGAAGCACGAGCAACTTTCTTTTTCTATTTTATTTATTTTTTAAACACAAAACATTAGTACAGGGCATATAAACATATATTGAGGCTTCTTTCCCTTCTGTAGAAAAAAGGTATGCATCTATATTAGCCCATATTCTGTTCCATCAAGCCTCAGTTGGAGGGGGGGGTCACGTAAATATCTACTCTGTTCCATCAAGACATATTTTAATAAAATGTCTTGTAACTGACAATGAGAAATCAGAGGGCTGAGTTTGAAATCCAGTCGGGTTCAAATACCCTTAGGAAAGGTATGAATCAATCTCCCCCACAGCTATGGGTCAAATAACATAACTTACAAATGGAAAAATTGTTATTCTCAAAAACTGTTACAGCAATAATCACACACAAAAATAATTATTCTTACGATTCAAAATATGTTTCACCTTTAAATAACCAAGAAAGGGTTGATAAGCCGTAAAAATAATAAAATCTCAGATCATTATCATTTCAGAGGCATAAAGAGGTTCTAATTTGAAAGAAAAAAGTCAAGTGTATATAGTAGATGCAAGAAAACTTTCAAACTATATCAGTGGAGCCATTTTACGCCAGGTCGGCTTCATGTTATGGCGCTGGTATACAGCTAACCGCACACCTACGTAAACAGCCTAGTCTCTTTCGACGAACAGCTACCCTCAGGTTGTCCCGTGCTTCCCTGTATAGGATTGTGTTAGCTGTCTAACCATACGGTTTTAAGTCAATGAACAGCAAACCTGTAGGATTGGTAACGATGGATGCTTCCAGGTCATGGGATCAACCGTTGACTCCAGAGTAGCGTGGTGCAACCCAGGTCTCATGTCGTGATGATCCAGAACGTCTTCATTAACTGCCTACTGGACGCATGGCGATCGTGGCTCTCCACGACATTCCTATCTTTTGTAACAATGTTTGTCCTCTGACTATCCCTCAGTCTCTGTTCTGCCATCCATTTACACAAACACTCAAGTTCAGTGCTCCTGCTGTATATTTAAAGATCCTTGATAAAATCCCAAAAAGAATCTGCAATATTATTGGTCCTGATCTGGCATCTCGGTCTTCACTCACCTTCACGCCGCTGTAAAATTGCTTTTATGCGCTTTTTCTATCAATAATTTCATGGTAATTGTTCGAATGAGCTATTCGCTATGGTACCTAAACTTTATGAATTTAAACGGTGTACTAGATTGGCAGCAAGGTCTCATCAATTCACAGTCGAATTGGCTTGATATAACCGTAGGTTCTATGCTAACAGTTTCTTTTCTCGCACTTCACACTCGTGGAAATCTCTTCCGGCTTCTTGCGTCCCAGCCAACTTTGATCTTCAAAAATTTAACTGTAATGTCAATCGTTATCTGCTGTCTTCCTGATTACTCTTATTATTTTCATTCCTTAATAATGTTTCTAATTTTTAATTCTTTCACACCCAGTAACCCCTTGTGCCTTAGCGGCTTTACTGCCTTGCTTGCGATAAATTCGATTAAAAAACAAATTCACTGCGTGTTAGGAGAACTGATATTGTTATAATGGTTCAGCAATTATTTTCTGTTTCTTAATACTTGGTTAAGGTTTCCCCCAAAAATTGAAAAAAAAGTTAAGCTTTCCCGCAAAATTGAAAAAAAATATCTATCAATGCATTGGAATTTCTGTTTTCCAGTCAATCGATTCGGAACCTAACAGAATAATATTACGATATTCCAACTTCTCCTGAACAATTTCATAGAACACCGCCTTCGATGGATCAAATTCCAGATCTATATTACAAAGTCCGTGTTGTTTATCATCTTGAAACAACGCTTAAACGCACGCAATGTTGCCTTGAACGCCCAACACACGTTTTTGTTCTGAGGATTCAAGCGCGCCTCTTTGTGCACAGACTACAACAGACTGTTACCTGCTTCCTGATTATTACATTTGCTCCATACATACCAACAAGTTCACGGTAAATTTCAGGTGGATTTTTGTACCTTGACGTGCACCTTACCATATTATATTCGTCCACCGTTTTTTTTGGTGTCAGCCATAGTTACTGTGACGTCACATGTACACGCACTCAATATTAAACCTGTCTTTGGTTATTCATATATATATATTAAGAATTATAGATACTTAATATGTATGGAGCACTGTTTTTTAAAAATAAAAACAAAAATACTAAAGAACTCCGGATTATTTACCTAACGTGTTCTTTCCTATTTTTTTCATATCTGTACACACACATATATATATATGTGCACACATGTACCTATTCTATCTATCTCTCTCCCCATCTCCGTTTCTCTCTCTCTCTATATATATATATATATATATATATATATATATATATATATATATATGACGTCACACATTAAGAAATGGGCAAAGTCCGACAATTATTTTTAAGACATTTTTATTTTTAGACATTCTTTTTATAGATACAAATATTTAAGCAAATGCTCTGTTTTATAATAAACAGTATTAAACAACATTTACCGGGATGAATGACCGAGAAATTTTTATAGAAAATTTTCGTCCTCCGACAGAAATCGAACCTGTATCCTATATGGAACCGTCATATAGCTTGACGTGCCTTTAGCCGTTTCGGCCACAGAGGAGCGTTCGGTTAGCAAGGTCTATTTTACTGTATTTAAACTTTAATCTTCCATGAATCTCTCACGCACATTCATATCTGCTCATGGCGTATGAAATGTAAACAAATGACGTCACATTATTATAAAATGGACAAAGTCCGACAATTATTTTAAGACATATTTTAAGACATATATATATATATATATATATATATATATATATATATATATATATATATATATATATATATACAAGTTTCATTAAATAATATAGACAAGTGTTGTCTATTTATTTTATGTAAAACACAACTATATTTCGACATGAAAACAATAGACAAAAACTAAAAATACTTGAAGCATTATACATCAAACAGTTGAAACCCAACCTAAACAAAATCAATTGTGGCATCTCTACAAATATTCTTAAATGTCTATAATTGGTAACAGAAGCCATTGGTTTATACCAACGGCTTTCCATACTTCATTCTCCAATTCACTCTCGTGTGGTCATGTGTGACGTCATGAGATCCGGTGCGATTTTCGCTTCTAGCGTCTTATATACGCGTGTTTATCGTTGCTTAGAGATCATCAATGTAAACAATGACAGACTATCATCACTGTCGTGTCCGTATATTGTTTAATATGTTTATAATTTACATCTTTGATAATGGCTTAAGTAAGCCGAAAGCTTAGATTATATTAAAAAAATATGGATCAATATTGTGAATGTCTTTCTTCGTTTAATGATAATGTTATTAAACTTATCAGATGTTACGAAAAAAATTTACATAAAATAAATAGACAACACTTGTCTATATTATTTAATGAAACGTGTATAAATGAAAATATGCTGCCTAAATACACAATATATATATATATATATATATATATATATATATATATATATATATATATATATAAATAGACATATATCTTTTTAATATAAGATATATATATAAATTATATAAACACTACGGAATGTATAGCCTCACCTATAGCAATATATTGAGTTAGTGAGTAGCCACAACCATATATATATATATATATATATATATATATATATATATATATATATATATATATATATATATATTTATATGTATATCATTCGGTTCACACGCCTCCCTGGTCTTTGAGAACTGGAGAAGAGGTTTATTCCATGTTTCCTGTTCAAGAATGTGTTTCCGGTTCCTTCTAAAAAATCTTTTTACATTCTCTTTCACTAGCAGTAGCCCACTTGCATCTTAGTGGCATTATTGCCTTGCTTGGGTTGAAATGATTTAAAATATATATATATATATTGTTTTATCTATAGATATATATATGTATGTATGTATGTATATATATATATATATATATATATATATATATATATATATATATAAAGCTTGGTGCATGCATAGTGATTACTCTATGTGTAATACGAAGAAACACTACCATAATAAGTCGGAAAAAAACTAATGAAAAAAACGCCCCAAATAGGTCCTTTATCGCGATGAAACCTTCCCTTTCATACTAAGCCCCCGTTCACTGTATTAGTAAGTTTAGTATTGGTATCATGTCCCTGGTACTGACTTCAATTAAGGGAACCCCTTTTACGTTAAGAATCAGTCGAGTATAAGCAATTTTTTCCAAGTGAGTTGCTATAAATATGAATGCAATTAGTTACGTTGTATCCTAACCTCAGAATGGAGCGACAATTATTTTTTCAATATGAAATCTGAGAAATTACTTGTATATTGTAAATTGATATAGACACTTTGTCAAATTTTATTTTGCATGTCAAGGTTTTTGCAATAAATTTGCTATTAAACAAACGGTGACAGTTAAATTGCTCAGGATATACTTATATGGTAGATTTACAATGTCGATTCCAACTGACGTTATCATGGGTTTTTATATGAGCCCTATGCATTAAATAAGTTTTTGAGACAAACTATGTTGGACGTGGAGGCAATAGTGATTGTGTGGATATCAGAGATGTGGAGATATGAGAAGACTAAGATAGATAGATAGATAGATAGATAGATAGATAGATAGATAGATAGATAGATACGAACAAGCTGAGATAGAGAGAGACATAGACAATGAACAGACTAAAATAGATAAGAGGATGCTGAGATAGAGAGAGAGAGAGAAAGAAAGAATGAGAGAGACAATGAAGATAGATAGATAGAAACTGAGATAGAGAGAGAAAGAGAGGGACAATGAACATAGATAGATAGATAGATAGATAGATAGATAGATAGATAGATAGATAGATAGATAGATAAGAACAGGCTGAGGTAGACAGATAGATAAAGAGAAAGAGAGAGACAATAAATAGAGATAGATAGATAAGAACAAGCTGAGATAGAGTGAGAGAGAAAGAGAGATAGATAGACAATGAACAAACTGAGATAGCTATCTATCTAGATAGATAATGAACAAACTTGGAGAGATAGTTAATGCCTGTCTATTCGATTTTGAACCTGAGCACTTTCATATTAACCGTTGCTTGGTTCTTTCATTTAACAAAGTACCTATAACTGATGGAGATTCTAGCGATGTGCACTTGTGTGGCATGTACGGCACTCCCTGAACATTAACTACAGTCACCCAGTGACAAGAATGTTTAAGATGAATAGTGGTAGCTTCAATCGCAGGGATTTTATTTCAGGGCCCTCCTTCCTTAACACTGACTGTCAACCATGGCTAAAGATCTGACTGTTCTACTATATAAACCCATAGCTGGAGGAGAAGATATTTCCGAGCGTGAGGATATATCCCCTCCACCACCAGTGACTGAACTTTCACACACGCGTGTATCACCCACATAATTATAAATTTTGTTTCGGACCATTGTCATCATCTTTATTGCATTTATCACAACGTTTCGACCTTTGTGCCGGTCGACCTTCGTCAGGTATCAGGTGTATATCGATCTGGGTAACCTACAGGGAATACGGAGTAGACTGTTTTCGTTCCACTGCTCACATCTAGAGATATCGTCTAGTTTTTTTTATTGTTTTTATTTAATTATTTATTTAGTACTGTTCATTTATTGCTTACCCGTTTCCATTGAGTACAAGTACACAGTACCCGATACAGGGATTGAAATCGTAACCACTATGTTCACCAAATTCACAAACGAACGCTTTTAGCCACTAAACAATTGTCCCGTTTGCTGTAGTGAACTTGGTGCTTTAAACTTAATCTATATGCTGATTAGGTTGCAACTGTAGCTGCTGCTGCTGACTGTCATGTTTTGACTGCTGCTGCTGCTGTCTATACTGTGATTGCTGCTGCTGTTGAAGACTTGCTGTCATTTGTCTTTCTTTCTTTATTAGCGGCTCCCATATCGTATTTATTTTTACACTAGGCCTACTAAGGTGATCCTCATAACCTAGCATATGCATTGAATTTTTCAGATGTCTAACCCCCCAGAGTTCTTCCTTGTCCAGTGTTTTCACTTGATTCCACAGAGGCTGATGACTACCCATTTCTCTACATACATGATCAGCCATGCCCGATTTCATTGTCTCACCTCTCATTATGACTTTTTGACGTTCCTCCAACCTTACTTTTAAGGGTGGGGCGGCCTTTATATTCTCTGACAGAATCGAATACACACCATTCTTCGTCACGTTCTCCCCCTGCTTCTGAATATTGTCCTGATGTATGGACCGCAGATCTTAATCTTTTCCGAGAAGACCTTGACGTGAGGTAAGACAGGGTTCGGCAAGAGCAGTTGTTAATGTCAGTAATCGGCAGTTGATTGCCTCTGAAGAATCACTGGAAAACAAGGAGCTCAACTTCGCTGTCACTATCGGATGAGTTTCATACTTAGACATGACAATTCCACTTCCTTACAACCGCCATTTATGTGGGCAAATAGTTTTGTATTTCCTTTTAGTCTAGCTAGCAGTACAGCAACTGTTTGGCGACCACAACACGATTTGAACATGAACCTACTGCAACATTTTGGTGCCTATGCAGCAATAGATAGCATGAACAAACTGAGAAAGAAAGAAAGAGTGTGAAAAAGAGATATACATGCGCAGACTGAGAAAGAAAGAAAGAAAGAAAGAGTGTGAAAGAGAGATATACATGCGCAGACTGAGATAAATAGAAAAGAAGGAATGACCTCTCTCTCTCTCTCTCTCTCTCTCTCTTCTTATGTTCCGTGTCTCCTTAGGACGTAGGTGATCATGTCTCTCCACAATTTCCTATCCCTTGCAGCTCTAAATTCAATATTCTCCTTATTTCTAAACCCTGTTACGTCATCCATTCCCTCATATTCGTCAAGTATGATATGCGTTGTTTTCCTTTGTCCCTCTTGCCCTCAATCTGTCTTATGAGTATCAGATTTTCCAAGCCCTCTTTCCTCTTTATGTGCAACAGAGATTTCAACTCTTTCTTCTTGATGTTAAGTATAAGTTTTCTTTCTGTTTCCCTTTTCTCTAAAACTTCTTTATTGTTCACATGTTCGGTTCATGATATCCTCATCATCCTTCTGTAGAACGACATTTCTGTTGCTTCAGGTCACCTCTTCATCTTTGAGGAAATTGTCCAGCATTCACTGCCATGCAGTAGGACAGATATCACTTAACCGTTCAGTAGTTTTTTCTTTGTTTCTAACGACGTTTTTCTGTCTCTTAATACTCTGCTTAGCTTTTGGAATGCATCTTTGGCTATCCCAATGCTTCTTCGGATTTCAGTGTCGCATTTTTGTCCTCTATTAGAACACTTCCCAGATATTTTATTTCTTGTACTTGGTTGATTTTGGTATCCCAGATTTGTAATGTGCATTTTGGGTTTATCCTTTTGCTAATAACCACGCATTCTTTCTTCTTGCAGTTTGTTTAGTCCTTTTCTTCTCGCTTTCTTTCACTACCTTCTGTAGGAGCTTTTTGTAGTTATTGATTATGCTAAGTAACTTTTGACTCTTCAACACACATCCTTGTTCCTTTTCTGTCACACACTGGTACCCACACGCTAAGTAGGTTAATCGCTGTTTTACCCTAATTGGTTTGCCTTCAGTATGTCTTCGGAGTGTTAAATAGTCTATTTCCACATTATTTATCGGTCCTGACTTGGCATCTTCAGCCACTTTCCCACCGCTTCCTTATATCTTTTCTATAAATATTTTTATAATAATTGTTCAGATAAGCTTTTCTCGGTATTTCGACTTTACGAATTTAAGCGCAGTACTAGATTGGCAGCTAGGTCTCATTATTATTTTGTATTTTCGTTATTTCTAAATCCTGTTCCGCCGTCTATTTTCTCGAGTTCGTCAAGTATGTTATGCGTTGTTTTCCTTTGCCCCTCTTGCCCTCAATCTGTCCTGTGAGTATCAGATTTTCCAAACCTTCTTTCCTCATTATGTACCCCATAAATTTCAACCGCCTCTTCCTGATGTTAAGTATGTTTCCTTTTTGTTTACATTTTCTCTAAAATCTCGTCGTTGCTCACATGTTCGGTTCATGGCACCTCAGCATTTTTCTGTAGAATCATATATTAAAGTCTCTTCATCTTTTAGGAAATTGTCCAACATTCACTGCCATACAGTAAGACAGATATCACGTACACTTTGTTTCTAACGACGTTTTTCTGTCTCTTAATACTCTGCTTAGCTTTTGGAATGCATCTTTGGCCGTCCCAAATGCGTCTTCGAATTTCAGAGATCTTAAATGAGAATGGTATGAGTGGGGCAGGATAGAGAGAAAGACTTACTATGACAAAGAGGATGCTGGGAAAAAGTCTCCAATGTCTGTTAAAGAACAATGACCTCAGCATTCCAAAGTTCGGAAAGAAAGGTTTTCTCAGCTAACAAAGTAAGAGACAGACGTTTTGAATGGCACAAACCACAAACTTATTTATCGGCTCCGGACCAAAGTGTGCGTAATGGTATAAAAATAGAAATAGCAAGGACTTTTTTCCTTTTCGGGAAGAATATAAAAACAAATAGTTGTGGGGTTGAAACGGGCATATTTCCCTAGTGAGTGATACGTATCGTTGCGTCGTGTGAAAACGTGGAATTTACATCAAGAATCTCAATCCAATGACTTGATAGTTTTCCTCTCTCTCTCCCCCCTCTCTCCCTCTTCCCTCTCCCTTCTCTCCATCTCCCCTCTATCTCCCCCTCTTTCCCACACATACACGGAGAGATTCTCGCTCTTTCCCTTTCGCAGTTTTTCTCCTTCTCTTTCTTTCTCTTTTCTCCCTGTTTCTCTTTTCTCTTCTCTTCTCTCTCTTTCTCTTTTCTCACTCTCTCTACATTTCTCACGCACACCTTCTCTCTATGCATTTTTTATTTCTTTTCTTTTCCTGCCTTTCTTTCCTTCTCTAACCCTTCGCTCTCTCTCTCTCGCACGCTGTTTCTTCTCTTTTTCTTTCTTTCTATATCGCTATCTCTTTCCATTTGTGTCTTTCACCTTCAATCTCTTTCTCTTACCCTGTCTTTCTCGCATCATTTTTCTCTCTCTCTCCCTTTCATTCTTTTTCTCTTTCTTTTCGCCTTTTTTTTCCTTCTCGCTCTCTTCATCCGTTTTTCTCTCTTTGCAGGTTCCCACCAGAGATATGGTGGCTGTTGCTTGAGACTGTGACAGCAAGTTTCCTCAAACCTCCAGAACTTTTCACAGCATCCTCGCAGACATTACCATGGGTAATAGTAATAGCAATATTAGCCGTTTCTTTATAAGGAATCACTGGGCATTCATTGGCCGAGCAGCCAATGACACTCGAGTTAAACTCTTCTAGACGCCTTGGCAATCGGGCTTGTATCAAAGTGTAGTATCTGTTCTCCTCATCTCCATTGATAATGGTAATATGAGCCGTTTCCTTATAAGAAATCATTCGACATTCATTGGCCGAGCCGTCAGTGTTACTGTCAGTTAAAATTTATAAAATCTTTTTCTTATCTGTTTATATTTCTGATATGATGTATTGTAATTATTTAGATTATTTATATTGTTCGGACTTTTGTCCTCATTTTTTTTTTTTTTTTTGCCATACTCCGCATATCAAAATTCAATTTTCTCTACTGGATAGGATGGTCGGTCTGGATCTCAAAATTCAGTTCTCTCTAGTGGATGAAAGGATCAGCTCGGTATCTCAAAATTCACTTATGTCTAGTGGATGAAGGGATCAGTCCGGTGTCTCAAAATACAGTTCTCTCTACTGGATGAAGGAATTAGTCCGGTATCTCAAAATTCAGTTCTCTCTAGTGGATGACGGGATTAGTCCGATATCTCAAAATTCAGTTTTCTCTACTGGATGAAGGGATCAGTCCGGTATCTTAAAAATCAGTTCCTCTACAAGATGATGGGATTAATCTGGTGTCTCAAAATTTAGTTCTCTCTACTGGATGAAGGGATCATACCGGTGTCTCAAAATTCAGTTCTCTCTACTGGGTGATGGGATTAGTCCGGTGTCTCAAAATTCAGTTCTCTCTACTGGATGATAGGATTAGTCCGGTGTCTCAAAATTCAGTTCTCTCTACTGGATGAAGGGATCAGTCCGGTGTCTCAAAATACAGTTCTCTCTACTGGATGATGGGATTAGTCCGGTATCTCAAAATTCAGTTCACTCTAGTGGACGATGGGATTAGTCCAGTATCTCAAAATTCAGTTCTCTCTAGTGAATGACGGGATTAGTCCGGTACCTCAAAATTCAGTTTTCTCTACTGGATGAAGGGATCAGTCCGGTATCTCAAAAATCAGTTCTTCTACTAGATGATGGGATTAGTCTCGCATCTCAAAATTCAGTTCTCTCTACTGGATGAAGGGATCAGTCCGGTATATCAAAAGATAGTTCTCTCTATTGGATGATGGGATTAGTCCGGTATCTCAAAATTCAGTTCTCTCTACTGGATGAAGGGATCAGTCCGGTGTCTCAAAATTAAGTTTTCTCTACTGGATTGGATACTCCGTACAGATCTCAAAATTCAGTTCTCTCTAATGGATCAGTCCGGTATCTCAAATTTCAGTTTGCTCTACTGGATGGGATGGTGAGTCTGGATCTCAACATTCAGTTTTCTCTACTGGATGGGATGGTTGGTATGGATCTCAAAATTCAGTTCTCTCTACTGGATGAAGGGATCAGTCCGGTGTCTCAAAATTCAGTTTTCTCTACTGGATCGGATACTCCGTCCAGATCTCAAAATTCAGTTCTCTCTACTGGATGCATGGATCGGTCCGGTATCTCAAATTTCAGTTTGCTCTACTGTATGGGATGGTCGGTCTGGATCTCAAAATTCAGTTTTCTCTACTGCATGGGGTAAGCGGTCCCGTATCTCAGCATTCAGTTTTTTTTACTGGATGGGATGGTTGGTCTGGATTTCAAAATTCTGTTCTCTATACTTGATGGGATGCTCGGTCTGGATCTCAAAAATCAGTTCTCTCTACTGGATGATGGGATTAGTCCGGATCTCAAAATTCAGTTTTCTCTACTGAATGGGATGGTCGGTCAAGATCTCAAAATTCAAGAGTTTGTGGCGGTTTATTTCTTTTCATAACCATCCTTGGGTTGGTTTCGAGTGCGTTTGGCTGGCTGTTGAATTTTGCATATCAACCCTTATTGGGCAATTTATTTTTTCACTTAATATAAATTGGTCGTGTTTATACGTGAGTTTATAAGTAAGCAATGGTTATGTTTATACTTTCCTGTATAGGCAAATAATATCCGCAAGCATCCAACAAGTAGGTGGTCCTTTTTAGGGAAGGTTACTTCTCTGCTTGAGCTACAGTTGGTGTATTTTATTTCCCACCAAAATGGCAAATCAGAAAACCCTATTTTCGTCAGTTGAACATTATAATTCGTCTTAATCGACCATCTTCCTCCCACCTTTCTTTTCATGTGTCGGTGTTTTCTTTGTGCTGAGTTATTAACTTCTTGGTTCGTTGATCGATTTAGATTTCTCTTTCGTCTAGCTTTCAAGATTTACCTCGGAGTAGGATTCAACTTGGGCGGGCAAGGTCATTCTCCAGTTTCTCATAGAGTTCATTTGTCATTGCTTCTTTAAACTTAAAGGTCTTAAAACATCCAGGATTATAGATTTATGAATGCCTTTCTCAAGTTAATTCATTTTTTTCTCCTGCATTTAACTTCC